ATTATTGCAAGACAAACATAACAGAAGATTGACATTATATTACCTGACGCTGAATTCGCTTCTACCTCAAATTTATCACTACCTTCTCATTTCTCATCCTTTAGAACCCGTGCCCACCCCTCGAAGCCCCGGGGTATCCACCCTGGGAGCTACCCGTGGCAGGGTAGCCAGCCCCAGTGGAAGGACGACCCTCGGAATATCCAGAGCTGGGGAAGCTGCTCGTGGAGTGTCCGGAGGAAGGATAGGTGCTCCCGGCTTCAGGGCCCTCCGAAAATCCAGATCCAGGATAGGTGCTCGCGGAGTGGCCAGTGGAAGGGAAGCTAGCGCCGCTGGAAGGGCCCTGAGAAGAGCCCGAAACAGGGTAGCCGCCCGTCGAATGCTCAGACGAAGGATAGCTGGCGCCCGAAGTACTTCCACTAAGTCCCGAACCAGGGTAGGAGCCCGTTGATTTCCCAGTGGAAGGATAGGTACCTTGGGAGGGGCCCTCGAATTGACCAGAGCTAGGATAAGTTCCTGCGGAGTGTCCGGATGAAGGGTAGGAAGCTCCAGATGAAGGGCCCTCGGAGTATCCAGTACTGGGGTAAGAGCTTGTGGAGTGCCCAGTGCTAGGGTAGCCGTTGGTTGAGGGTCGTTCGCTCGACTGTTCACTGGGGTAGCTGCTGCCAAATGGTCCTGTTGATTGTTCACCCGGGTACACAGATCCTGAGCCAGAGCTAGGATATTGCCCACTAGCCTGGGAGTTACTAGGAGAGTATCCTCCCTTTGAAGGAACTCCAGTAGATTGGCCATAAGGGTACTCGCCACTTGTGCCCTCAGAGTGGCCTCCGAAAGGCGACCCGGTGGACTCACCGCCAGGGTACTGTCCGCTCGGAGGGTAGCCCTGAGATTGCTGACCTCCAGGAACGCCAGTAGGCTCGCTGTTGGAAGGGACAGACGAGTGGCCAGTTGGGGTGTATCCCACATAATATCCGTCCTCATAAGCAGAGGACGTGTCAATGCTACCGGGGTCTTGGCTGCTCGGAGCTGAACCCTGTGAGGGCGGGCCTCCAGAAAGACCGCCACTAGGTGGCGCGCCTTCGTTCTGTCCGTATTGTGGGAAACCCTGGGAGGTTTGGCTTTGAGGTCTTCCAGCGCCAGCAACTGGTCCGGCCGGAGCGCTCACTGAGGTTGCCGTCGGCCTGGAAGCTGCCTCATTGGCTGGCGGAGCATTGATGGAAAAAGGTCCATGGACTTGTTGGTCAGGGAAGGGAGTTGCGACAGGCCGTGGGATTCCGTGGAATGCCCCCGACGGGACGCTAGAGGGGGTGCCCGAAGGAGTGGCTATGCTGCTGCTGCCAGGAGCTTGCTCCTTGGCTCCGTGGGAACCAACAGTGAAAGGGAATCCGCTCCCGAAAGGACTGTTGGGCCATTGGGGCTGGCCACTCGGGATAGCAGCCCGTTTAGCATTCGGGTTGTGGACAGGAACAGCGAGAATAGAGCTGCAGAACGACAAAATGATTGCCGCTGTTTGGGCCTTCATGATGACGCAGGCTTATTGAGATTTGCTCTGAACACTCAAAGACAAAGCCAGGCTTGAAACTAGGGGAGTGACAAGCGATGAAGGGCAAAAACAAGGGTCGATTGGGATGTGAACGAGAACTCCATAATCGAAGACTAGAGTGAACAAGCCCTGGTTTATATATCATAAAAAGCCCGCTTGATCACGAAACATAATATGCTGATGAGGCATAGCGAATGAAATGCTTAGACTAAGCCAGCACACATAGCTAAACCATGGATCGCTGCATTCATCTGGCAAACCATATTCGTAACCAACTCTTTAGTGAGAGAAGCCATACTGTGCACCATCGCACGATTGTGGAAACATTGCATTTGTTGGCATCCCCTTCATTGTTTTTACCGGCTTTTGGGCTTTTCCTAATAATGCTTGCAAGGGTGAGGAATCTCCAAAATTAGTTGATGTAGCACAATTTCCTCCCCTGGGTGTGATGGGATCCCAAGGAATGTGAGCACGAAGGGACGCGTAGCGGGTAGAAGGGCCTCAATTCGCCGTTAGGTGACAATTCTCAGACGCGAATTGCTTGAACCAAGGCCCAGCTTCACGGGAAGCATACCGATGAATGCGAGGGGGATGTAGGATCAAGGATAGTATCGCGCGCGTCCTCGTGGTGGTACATCCCTAGATTCCTGCGCAAATGCATCCAAGAACGTGTCAGATCGTGACCCCTTGATCCCTGCCCACAGGCTGCCCCACAGCCTGTCTCCATTAAACATGGGGAATATCGCCGAGTTAAAGTTGTATATATAGCAGGAGCCGCGCAGCTTGAGTTAAATCCATACTGTGCTTGCACTCCTGTTGTGATCAGCATTTAACCGATCTTCCATACGGCATACAGGAAAGCTTAATGCGTAGAGGCCGATAAAAGTATAACAGCATTGTCGAAGAAGGCCTGGAACAGTGCGTTCTGCTCTCAGTGCAAGCCTAGCCATTCTTGATCGCTGTGGCAGTGTTTATGGCGCAAATTGACTGCTTTTAATGATGAACATTGGCTGGTGCACGTCCGCATGAAGCTAATCTCAGCCTACTGCCGTACTACCTCTATGACAGACGAAAAGGTGGTTGGGCTGGTTCTTGAGATTTGGGGATCAAATACTTTGGCGCCGACGAAGTCCATTTCAGCTGTCAAAAGCAGCGACCGGCCGATTGCAGGGTTTGCCAACCAACCACTACGTGCATCTGTTCGTTTCGTATGGGCGCTGGGTGGTTTCGTGTAAGTAGCCGCGAGAACCCAAGCATGGCGGAGAGATTACGCACGGTCTCTTGTCCATCTAGCAAGATGGATGCTGCCGTGCGGACCAGTCTGTCACTCGCTTTGGAATGGACTCTAGCCGCTTCTCTGGAACCGGCGTAGATGACTTTTAAGAGCCCTAGTCTATATCAATGGATTGATTAGCGTCAGCACACCGGCAAACTGATGAGACCCTGCATCCGAGACGCATAAACACCAGCGTTTCGGAGCCTCTAAAGATCCGGGTAATGACGGGTCACAGGCTTATTGGAGTGGAGACAGCTCGCGCGTGTTATCAGGATTAGACGTAAAGTCTTGGAAGATATGATGTTCGGCCTTCAAGTGCATAAGCTCGGTACCTTTGCTAGACAGGATTCCTCGCTTCTTGATGCTAAGCATGGAAGAGCGTGAACAAGATGTGCAGGATGCAGAGTTAGTTAGATGGATGCAATTCACATTGTATATGCGTCGGGCTCTTCCTTGTCCAGACGGCGCAAACCCAGTCGCGAAGCACCGAAAGAGACAATGTGCAACTATCTGAAGTGTCGGCCAATCCGTCTGTTCTAGAGTTGGAAACACGAGAAATCATGTGGCATAATATTGAGCTGCGAGCTTTACCGTGATGATTAGTATCTCTGGTGCTCATATGAAGCTATCTGACCTGGCACGCCGCCTCACTGCCATATGGTGAGAAAGCGTACCTGAATACTTTCCAAACAAGGCATTCAGTATCCCACGATCAGCATCAAATGTATTTATAAAAGGTTGGGTCGTCTGACAGACACTTTCCATGGATTGAAATGTGTGGATCAATTGAATATAAATTGGAAGGGCTAAGACTGATCGATTATGAAGACGTTTAAAGCGACAAAGTTCCCCTGACAGGTGATGTAGCATGTGGTCACATGTCTGTTTGTCAGTTTGCTCTGTCATCAAATTAATTGACATCTTGAAGACATTTTCCCGACCCTGAAGTCTCCAAAGTGTCGCTACCACATACATATAGACTATGACGAGTGCTGCACCTCATATTGTCGAGCTTCCTTGCTCTGCATAACCCTACTGATTCTTCTCAATACCTCAGGACTCTCTTGAGCGCCCATCCTCAGTTATAATTAGCAGGCTGACACACAATTGTTCGTCGTGCAGTTCTTTGATTATCCTTGATACACACGTACAAACACGCGTCCCAGACGGCCTCTAACAGGAAGCAAAATTCAATAGGCGAGTTCGTGCGTCGCCACGATATGACCTATCCAGTACCCGCCATAGCTAGTGCGGTGTGATGTGTACGACGTGATTATCGACCTCCGGCAGCAAAGGAGCGGGAGAACAGTAAGCGGTGTTTCCAAACTTAACATGCGCATATGCGCACTTAAAGGATAATTATCGTTGACTTTGCTCTTCCAGGATCTAGGCTCGCACAATAACAGTCGACAGATAATCAGATGAGAGATCGGATATGCTTGTCTCACCAACAAGCAGCACCGCGTCATCGATATACAAGGTTGGGTCTAACGCCATCAAAGATCCGCACTGCCATGATGTTTGGTGGCTTCCATATTATCTGAAGGGCCAACATGTTCTCGGGTCCAGATCAATATTTATTTTCAGTTGGCACTAGTGAAACCTTTGCATACTATGCAGCCTGTGCTGAGTAGCTTGCAGCACTAGCGTCTCAAAACCTTCTGTAAAATGCATAGGATTCCTTCCATGACTATCCGACGGTATTGTTGCGCTTTAAGCTAATCTTGGACTGAGAACCAATCCGACACATCATCCTGGGAGTCCCCTGCTGGTGAAACAAAACGTCATAAACCCGAAAGGCGGAAAGGAGGGGTGTCCTCGTTCTCCCTCGAAGGGGAGGGAGCACGCCCTGCAACACGAGGTGCCCTATCTTTGCCGGGTGCGGATCCTCCTTTGGTTCTGGTGGACGGTTATTGAGTTTTACCATGCAGTTGCCGTCAAGATCTGCCCACTAGACGCGTCTCATGCATATCAAAACTCCTGGAGCCTCCCTGGAGAAGGAGATCGGGAGTACAGGACTGAAGGTTCGAGGAGGCGAACAGATCATCTGCAGCCCCCCTCGCATGCACGCCAGACCCTTGGCAGCAGGCGTGCCCGAAATAGACAACTTTTGGCTTTCCTTCATCTGTTACTTGCCTTTCTCTCTTCCTATCGGCTGATATTACAGGGAAACACAGGGGTACCAGGAAAAGTAAGAAGGATCAAACGCGGCCCAAGCAGGCAGATATCGCCATGATAGACCCTTGCCATGAGGTGGCTCGTTGCGGTGTATCCTCCATCCATACATTTATAAGGCCCTCTCAACCCAGCTCTTCCCTCAAGCCATTAAATATCCTACGAACTGAAAGCGCTCGTTAGCCCTGCTATCGCTACTCTTCCCATTTTAGACACCATATCCTCCGCTTTGAACAGCTTCACTCGTCGAACATAGACTATCAAAATGCATTTCTTGAACATTGTTGTCTCGATGATGGCGTTCGCCATTACAGCACTGGGTACATGTTCCTTTGATTTTGCATCATCTACTTTGGACTAACATCAGCATTCACAGCCATTACAATCACCCAGCCTAAGAATGGTGACCAGGTGGACTTTAGCAAGCCCTACACCATCAAGTGGACGACCGTGGCGTAAGTCAACACGGGCCCATTTGACTGTCACACACAACTAATTCATTTCCCGGATCAGTTCTGACCCTACGGACTTCGACCTCATACTGGTCAACATGAACAGCCAGCCCACCGTCAGCAAGAAGATCGCCAATGTCAAGACATCGGATAGCAAATACACCGTTGACAAGGTCATCGGTATTCCAGTTGCGTATGTATCTTCAAACAGCCCAGCCGCCTTATTATGGCATATATTGTACGATCCTAACGAACGCGCATAGTGAGGGCTACCAGCTCAACGCCGAATCCAACACCACCCATAACACCGGCATCCTGAGCCAGTCGCAGCAGTTCAATGTGACCAAGGTTGGCAAGGCTGAAACAAGTAAGGAAAATTCTATTTTATCATCATCACCACCGTCACCATCACAACCATCATCATCTTCACCGTCATCATCACCATCACCATGTATCCGCCCACATACCAGCACCATCATCACAAAAACCACTTCCCGCCCCTGCATCAATCACCAGACTACTTCACCATCTAGCACCGCTCCCTCCGCCTCCACAACACCGGGTGAGTACGTACAGGATGTGAAATAGACGGGTCTCTAACCGTGTTCTCTTTACCTTGCCTACAGCTTCAGCCACCACTAGCGCCACCCAGACAGCTGCTGCGTCTACCTCCTCGTCTGCCGGATCTGCCGCGTACACGGGCACGCTTCCTGGCTCCGCCGCCGTGATCGGTGCACTCGCAATGGGCGTAATTGCCGAGATTCTGTAAGTGAAAGAAACAGGCACATCGAAGTCGCACAAGCCGGTCAGCGAAGCGATCGATAAACCTGAAATCGAACCGACCCGCACGACACGACAGCGACCCTCGTAACCTCGTTTCTCGAATGATCGACTCCAAAATTAGGACATGACACGCAGGCCAACCGAGCCAGCTTCATGTTTCAGCGATGAGTGTAGTACTATCTGCTACTCCAACTTTTCTTTTTCTATTCTTGCCCTTCCCCTCACACATTCCCCCCTTCCCCGCTTTCCTTCCCCTTCCCCTTCCCCTCGTTCCTTTCTTATTGTCTATCTTTGACGTCCTTCCACGAGTGATGTGATATTGGTACATTATTGGTTTCCCTTGATACATAGTTTTAAATGCGCAGATGGAAATGGATTTATGGCACTGTTACACCTTCTCTCGTTCTCCACAATCATTTAATACAATATTTTACCCATGCCGTTTTATCTATTCTAACTTTCCTTTATTGCCGATGTTGGATATGATACATCAGTAGCGCGGCACTCGCGATCATGCATGTCGGCGCTGGCAAACCTATTTCCTGAACACCCTGCAAGGAGGTTCACTCTGGCAACGGACACTATCAATTAAACCAGCCTATCTACAGTTGTTTGAACACACCTCAGCATTAACAATAACCTCCGACTAGAGACAAGCTCCATGTACCTCAACCGTGCACGTATTCGATACTCACATGAATATACCTACAGTAGTATTCTGCTCCGTACTACCGAACCGAACAGGTCATTCACAAATGCACTCACTCTGTCCCGGGGTCTCCGTTGCATTCAAGCAGTGAGGTAACTTAGTAGTCCAAGCCACCCTGTCCCACTATGTACTAGAGAGTAAGTACTATTCCATACTTAGCAGCACATACAACAACAGTACATAACATGCACCCCCCAGCCCAATTCAAAATGTGTAACCCAGGCCCCACCCAAAGCACTATCGAATGAGTAAATAGTTTCCATACAGTATCTTCTACAAAAGAGTATACTTGAGTACATGGCTGCCTAAATCTCATACTAAACCTCATAGTGTAATAAGCTCTAGTAAAGTGGTTGCATCTCACAGCCCAACGGGGATCATATGTGCTACTATGTGGCTGAATTCTCTTTTTTTTTGGTTGCTTCTGTTGGCTACCAGTAAATAACTAATAGGGAGTCTCTTTTATATGATGGGGCAATTATGTGTCATGTGTATCTTTAAATTTAATGACCATTATAGAGCCAGTGTGACTGTAACATCAACCAAGTAACTAACTTAGTTAACTAGTTAGTTACTCAGTACTGCTGCTTAGTATCTTGACTGGGGCATGTCGGTTCATTCCGATATTTGCGAAACACTATATAGTACTTACAGTATTACGAGTAAGTAAGTAAGTAGTATGTGGCTGGTAACTAGCTAGGTCGATTGGATAGATCTTATGCATGACAGCGAGTAGTACTACGGTGTACTGCTACTGTTTCGTCAATGACACATGTCCAGGTAGGCAATCACGAGAGATCCTAATACTACCGGATATATTTAGAATTATGGGTATATTTCCTAATTCGATAATTGTTCACATACATATTTACAGAGCAGCTACGGGATTGTGAACTACTGTGATAGATGGATAGATGGCCGATCCGGGGGTCAGAGTAATGTTCACAGTGATCCCATCATCGAGTCAGCACGACCGGACCCGGTGGCGCTGGCACTGATCGCAGGCGAATAACTGTAGTTGTCGTTGATTCCTTCTCGGGGACGATCCCAGGTGCGAATGTGGCCTGGTTGACATGAAGATAAAGTCGTTAGCAATATTCTGAGGGTTAAATCTAGGAAGAAAATTCGGGCTGCGAAATACCTTCGAGTGAAGATGTCATGATGGAGTCTTCTTGGAAGCCTAGCCAGCAGATAGGGTCTTCACCAACGATTTTGGACTGCGCGAGTAAGTTAGCCTTTTTGTGAATTGGAGAATATACGCAAGGGGGTGATAGCTACCATTATCGGTGGTAAGAGGGCGGTTCGTGCTCTGGGTTCCACCGGATGACGAACGGTCGGATCATAACTATTATAGGTATCTGCGGTCTCCTGAGAATCTGATCGCGTTCGGTTTCCTCCGCTATCGGCTCGGTGACGGTTGAGGTGTTGCGTGTTCGAGACAATCATGCTGGTGCGTTGGCGGGCGTTGGCTTGATGCTATTTCATGGGTTAGAACATTAGGAATCCGTGTCTATCGTTGGTAAACGTACTACTCTCGGTCGGTGCAGCATGCCCACGCTGAAATCCCATAGTAGCAACCGACAATCGTCACCAACGCTACCAAACCTGTAAGTACGGTCGTCGCAGCGCCATGGGTCAAAAGCTACCGCAGAGACCCATGAGTTGTGGCCCTGGCAACGTGCGACAATCTTGCGCTCTGGTAACGACCAGATCGTTACAAGATCGTCTTGGCCTCCGGTTACTATATATTTTCCGTCCGGCGACCAGCAGACGCATATTAACCCTCCGTAGTAACTGCGGAAAATATCCAGAACCCTAGCAAGACGTTAGCCCACGCTCTCCTATACCGACAAGGTGGCAAGATTGTGGTCGCAGCATACTCTTCCTTCAAGTAATCCATAACTCGTAACGATCCATCCTCTAAGACAACAGCCAAGTGTCTGCGGTCCGGCGAGAAGGCGAATTGCGTGATTTTCTGGTTGGCGAGTTTCCACAGCGCAACCGGATTGGTCTTTTGATTTCTCGAGTTGACCGACTTCAGGATTTGCAGTGGTTGCCGCCCCGACGACGACTTCATCGTTTCAGCCGACGGACTGCCCAGTTCTGGTGTGAAAAGAGCGTCTTCTTTCTCCTTGTCGTATACCACCAGCTGTCCGTTCGCATGAGCAGCCATGAACAAATTCTCTGAACCGGGAATCCATTTGATATGCGTCACAGGAGAATTGTTGACGACTCCGTTCTTGTTGATACGTGCGTACTTCTGAGACATCGGCTCGTACCAAATAATGTCTCCAGCCGAGGAACCCATGACAACATCTATGTGTGATGAGCTCTTGGTTAGCTCATTGATATCATGGCTTATCATGTGCGCTTTGGTGAACAATATCTTGGTGACGGGCTCTTCCTTCTGCTTAGCACTAAGATCCAGCCACTGGAAGGCACGATTGATGTTTGCAAAGGCAAAAAGACCATCCGGGTTCCGATCGTTCAATCGCTTGGTTGCCGTCTCGTGCGTAATGACCCGCGAGACGAATGACGAGCTGCTCTTTATGATATTGTTCTTCGGTTTCCTCCTCTTCAATCCTTCCTTCACAGGTGGTGCTGCGAGAGCTGGATTGCCATCTCCAAATAAAGAAGCTGCGCCTGTGCCATCCACGGAGGGTGTGGGGGTCTTAAGCCGGCTACCGATGCTAACCAGCGAGAGCTTGACACCTGATGTCGGAGGCGCTGGAACGGTCGCAAGTGGATTGGGATTCATGACGGGGGCTTCGGAGGGATGTGGAGGAGGGGTGGCTAAGTGTAGGTCATCTCGGAGGAGGTAGGTGCCTATCGTAAAGTCCGTCAATCAGCAAATCCAAGCAACCTTGCGGCGACGTGCATGAGCAAACATGCGCCCCTTCAGAAACATACCTTCTCCGGCTTGTAAGGGACAGCCACCCTCTGGATGGCTGATGATATTGTTGGTCTCTACAACTGGTACCGCCATGCCATTCGACGCCCCGGCCGCATAGGCGACGGGGACGGTATAGCGAGGCGGAGGTGGGGGAAGGACGCTGGATCAAGGGGTCAGCCAGGTGAAGAGACGCAGAAGGAACGTCATAATAAATGTAGATAGGGCTGAAAGGTAGTGGCGCTCTTTGACCTCCAGGGAATTGAAGGCCGACCTATGATGCGCCCACGAGGCGGAGATAAGGGACCAAGGACGCTGATAACCGGGCTTTTCAGCTTTGGGTTGGGAGGGCAAGTCTTACAACATGGCTGCGGATACCACAAGCAGGCACACCGGTCAATCAGCGATAAATTAAAAGGATTTTGGAGGGTGGTGTGACAGGGGCCTAGGAATGCGCGATAGGCTTGTCAGACAATCGTCGTAGCGAATTCCCTTCCCCCCCAAGAGCGGCACCCTTGACGGTGCCACTCAGGGTGGCTTGTAACGTTCTTAGGTTGTGAGAGGACTGGTCCAGATGGAAGGGCTGGAAGCAGGTCGTCGTTGTCGTTCGTGCAAGGGAGAGAGGGCGGGACCAGGGCTCTCGAATGGGCGAACGTTCTGCTGGCTAGTAGGACGAGGGTGATGATTGGGGCGGAGATTCGCGGGAAAGTCGCTTGTGAACTCGGAAGAAGCTGGATATCGTTGGATTATATACCCCGGAGTTGAAGATGGAGAGGAGAGAGAGGCGGGGAGAGTTACCGGGTAAGAACTTGCGCAATGGCCTTATAACCCGGGGGGATCGAGCGACGGCGGATGTGAAGCCAGAGAGAAGAGCGAGCGGGCGGCCAATTCCGGGGTTGGTCGAAGTTGGCGCGTGGGGCCGCCAATCTGCCAGGCTTCAGTCAATCCTCTTCTTTCCCCCCCAATGCTAACGGCGCCAGAAACCCACACTAGTCCTCGTAGTCCAAAGTCAATCACTCTTGCGTCGTGCCGCCCCGGTTCTATGGGGACTAATCTACTCTCGTGGCCGACATGGCAGGTTGAAATGAACGAGTAGATCATCAGCCGTATTTAGGCCCTTCATTATGCATCATACTTTATTAATTCTTACTAGTCGGTTAACTGGCGATACTTTGCCGGCAAACACACTAACAACCCAATATACAGACTCAAGGGTATCTATTTGACTCCACAGGAATACGACAGTAGTGTTCGCCCCGTCACACTCCGCTTCCACTAACTCTCCGCCAAATCATGACGGCCGCCGCTCCAGCGCAAACCACTGCCCCAAGAGCAATCCCCCATGCCATCCATTTGCCTTCCACATCTTCCTCACTCCGCGGGAAGGCCGTACTAGGCTCCATTGCCGCTTCTGCAATGTGGACAAATACCTCCTGGATGGAGCTCCAAGTGGCACTGACATGAAGAGGA